CATATGCGTGTGTGTGGGGGGGGGACTACCTTCTGCTGACCTCATCTGCAGTCTCTACTTATCTATCAGTCTATTTCTCTAGCGTTAATTATTTGATCTCCAGTAGCGTAGGACATTCGTATCATTCCAAGAATACGAATGAAATAGTCCTTTATAACCTGAATCAACCTCACGCAGAAGACTGAAGGAAAAGAAAAGCTTCTTCGGCAAATTCCTCACCAGCCTGTCATGCCGACGTCCTACTCGCTTACCTGAGTGTGATAATATTTGTATTATCCACAGCCTCTCTGGCCTGGCCTTCCCCCAGAGCCGGGTGGGGTCGCATTCCTGGCGGCTGTGCGTTCAGGAGGGGGGGGGGGGGCAGTGAAGGAAAGCGAAAGTGGTTTTCTTCATATTATGAATATTTATTTATAGCTACGATTATTTGCTAATAATTATTTGCTTTTATGATGTGTTGCCTTTATGTACAGTTACGTGTAAACACTTGGACACCAACCATACATCTGTACATGAATATAAATATATTTATATATGTATGCATACACGCGTGAAGGCATGCAATACATATGTGGATATCTGCGTGTCTTTCTCGAGAGAAAATACCTGTCATGCACTTACATGAACGGAATCATCAAGTCACGGTTCATTAAAGTAACGTATATCGGGCCTATTATCACCCTTAACGACCCCCAAAAGCAAAAACCGCTTGGCCCGCCGAGATCCTACCGAGTCTGACGAGCTTCCAGAGGTCAGCAGTAAAAGTCTCAGTGCTTTGGCTACATACATTCTGGGATATAATTTTCCACTGGTTATCTAGATTGTTCAGAATTACCTGCTAATATTTTTTCGGTGCTAGGTCTAGGGTTTATTATGGAAATGTCTCGCCTTAATTACGTCGTATATAAAGCCCTTTTCAATCGTTTATTAGGATTACTGTTTACATATGAGCCATTGTACCAAATAACTAAGAACTTCAAACCACTACAAACCCAGCTCAGAGAGGACGAAGGGTAATGGGATAGGGAATTGGCACGTACTCTAGAATATCGTGTTTTTACTCCTTGCCATTTAATTCATCATTCGTAGCTGCTATTTTGTAACCTGACAAGGCAAAAAGTTGAAATGATTGGAGGAGCCTTTTCTCACTCTCAGTTTTACTGCTTAAAGTTTTCAGGAAGTGAATCTAACGTCTTTAGAATTTCTAGTATTGATTAGATATCACAGCAATCAGATGTTTACCAGTCCTACCTTTTTAGTTTTCGTTTTCGTTGTTATACAAGCACTGTAATTCTTTCAGTATTGTTAGTAGTAAAAGTATAAAGTGTATTCATTTCTTACATTTAATTAGATTTGCTCTATTTGACTGACATCGGGTCATTATATTATCATGGCTACAATTAGATTACGGGTATTACTTGTCATTTTTATTTTTTTTAAAAATCTCATATTGTTATATTATAATGTAACCTCTAATAATATATCCCTTCTGAAAGTGAACTCCTTAACGTGCCCTGCGAATTCTTAAGGTAGTGTACAATTAACTTTGTGGACTGGTTTGCTTGGCTGGAGCCTGGAAACATTGTATAGGGAACGCTACGTGACAATATCTCAGAGAAAATTTTTAGTGTCACATTACTTCACATTGTCTGTACTTACCTATCGTATACTTACGTAATTCACATAGGAAAGTATTCAAAAAATGTTTCTTATATGCTTGTTTTATTTCAGTAAAATATATTACATGGGTATGAAAAATAAGTTATCTGAGGGAGTGATGGTAGCCGATGTAGCAATTGGATTTTTCTTTTCCTCCAACTTTACCCGTACACAGGTCTTGGAGGGGCGTAGCCACGAGATTCACGGGACTCGAACGACTCGAACGACTCGAACGATTCGAAGGAGTCAGGGTAGCGAGCCTCTCCTTCGTAGGACACCTCAGGGAGGAATCCTGAGTCTCCTTGGACAGTGAACCTGACGGTCTGCAGGCGGCCGTCGGGGAGCTGCACGTAGTAGGATCCTTGGGTGTCGTGGCCGTCGCGGGCCTCCTGGTGGCCGAAGTTGTTGCCGGAGTCGCTGTGCTGGACCGCCCAGTCGAAGTTGTAGTTGGCGGGGCCGAATTCCTCAGAGGAGAACTGGAAGAACAATAAAATTAAATAAATAGGTTGCCGGTTTCAAAACAGTGGAGGAATGGCAACAGGTGACTTAAAAAAGCCGCGACGATTCTTCGGAAAATACAGTGAATTCGTGAAATGTGTAAATCATATCCTCTAGCAGCGTTTAACTCACCTCGGGGGCGGAGTAGGAGTAGGGTCGCCTGTCAGCGGCGGCGACAGCCACGAGAGTCACGAGAAGGAGGACCTGAGGAGGAAGTGGCCACGTGTTAATGCACAAGAGAAACTGTCAAGCATATGCCACCCAGAGACTTCATCCAAATAATTAACAATAGATATATCTCTAATTAAAATGAAATTATATTTATTATTATCAAATTTTGGCTTCAGTAACGAAAAATATTAGTTGACAGTGGAAAGGTGGAAATTACCTTTGAGTTCATGTTGGTGTGGAAGCTGTACAACTTGTGCCAGATATCCATTGCTTGGCTGCATTTATACTCGTGTGTAGTGACGTCATTACAGGGCTTTTTGCATGTTGCAGAACTTGCCATGCGCATGGAAAGTTTATTACCATAATGGGGTATTGTTGCTGGTGTTATTGCTAACATTTTCATTTTCATTGTTTTTATGATTTCTGAGACTAATATTATCCTTATAATTATCCGCATTTCCCCTGTAATCAGTATTACCTTTCTCATTAACATTATTATCCTCATCTTTATTAATATTAAAATACCATTATATTTATCAGTATTAATAATGTCATTGTTAATCAGTATCTTCCTTTTTTCAGTATTACAACTATTAATATCATTACCAAAAATACTATTATTATAATCTTCATAAACATATTTGTTTTGTTAAAGCTGTCATGGCATTGTTATGGTATTCTCAATATTTTAATTAACATATTCGTTATAATAAAAATAATTTGCGATGTTATTGTTACTTGTTCTTAATACCAAAGGAGTTATCAATATTATTTTTATTGTTGTTTTTACTATTAATAATATATTATAATTATTGTTTTTTATTATAAGTTATTTTCATCATTATTAATATTATTGCTAATATCATCACTATCATTGCTATTACTTTATTATTTTATCACTGCTATTATCATTGTCATTGTCATTGCTCGTTGATTAGAGATATTCATTATCATTTTTTTAAATATTATTACGATTACTACTATCACTACTATTACTATAACCTTTTAACTGTTGACCTTGTGACCATAGAGTACAGCACTAATACAATCCTTATTATCATTGCTGTGTTTTATGATCGTCATTTCCCTTAATTTGATAACTAAAACGAAGGGGAATATTATTTTTTCATTTATCTTATTATTGTTATCGTTATCATTATTATTCTTGGTAATGATTAATATTTTCATTTTTCTTATCATTACTATTATTTCTTCATTACAAATATTTTATTATCATCTTAACCATCATTATTATTATAAACATAATCATTGTTAATGTTATTATCATCGCTATCATTACCACTATCATCATTATTATTACTATTTTTTATTACAACTATTATTAACACCATAATCATTGAGAGTTTATAGTTAACAATATCATCAAAATTACTATTGTTGCAATTATCATTATTCCTTATCATTTTATTTATTATGATTCTAATGATCATAATTATTGATTTCAATGTTATTGCAATTATCATCTTATTGTATTTTTTATTATCATTAGTGTTGTCATCATACTTTTATCACCTTGATTTATATATATTGTTATTTCTATCATTACTATTTATTTTTTATTATCATTATTGTTGTTGTTGTAGGTTTTGTTATCATTATACTTTCTATTGTCATTATTATTATGTTTATGGGAGCTATTATAATAGTTATTAATACCATTATTATTGTTGTTGTTTATGTTGTTAATCTTAACATTACTACTACTACAATTATTGTTATTATTACTATTATTATTATTATCATAACTATTAGCACTGCTATTGTTTTCATTATTTTTTATCATTATTATTATTATTTCTATTAATAATATTATTATTTTTGTTGTTATTGTTATGTTTGTTTGTTTGTTGTTACCATTATCATTATTACTATAGTTGCTATTATCATTATCATTGTCGTCATTATCTTTATCTTTATTAATATTATTCCTATTATTTCGTACATCAGCTTTTTTATCCTTATCACCACCATTATTAGTATTAATATTAATAAAAACATTATCATTACTATTACTACTACTATTACCATCATCATATCAAGTATTAAAGACCTTATCATTATTCACATTATCTTTATAATTAGATTGATGTAGCTTTGTTATATTTATCATTATCATTATTATTGCTATTTCATCATTGATGATATTAGTATTATGATCATCTTTATTATCTTTATCATAGTTATAATTATTAATATCATTAATGTTGTTGCTTTTGCTATTATCATTACTGACAATTTTGTGCTTTTGGATGGTATTATTATCATCATAATTTCTATTATCCTTATCATCTTTATTATACTTGTTGTTGTTGCTGTTGTTATTGTTATTATTTTTTCATGTTTGATTATTATGATGTTTAATTATTTTTAAACTAAATTATCCTTATCATCATCATTATCATACCCAATTATCATGCTTATAGTCATTATTGTCATCATCATTATTATTATCATTAGTTTTATTACAATTAATATGATTACTAGCCTCATAGCCGTTAATATCATTATTCTTATTACTGCATTTGTCGCTATATATATATATATATATATATATATATATATATATATATATATATATATATATATATATATATATATATATTCATTTCTCTGGAAGTTTTCATTTGTTTTTTGTAAGAAACTATATCCATTGGTAACATATACACCAGTTTTATTCACATGATTTATTTATAGAAAATATTCAAATAATTATGTAAAATAAGATAGGGTGACGGTAGCCGAAGAGGGTCCTATTTTCTTTAACTTCAACCATACACGGGCCTTGGAGGGGCGTAGCCACGAGATTCACGAGACTCGAACGACTCGAAGGACTCGAAGGATTCGAAGGAGTCAGGGTAACGAGCCTCTCCTTCGTACGAGATTTCGGGCACGAATCCTGAGTCTCCTTGGACAGTGAACCTGACGGTCTGCAGGCGGCCGTCGGGGAGCTGCACGTAGTAGGATCCTTGGGTGTCGTGGCCGTCGCGGGCCTCCTGGTGGCCGAAGTTGTTGCCGGAGTCGCTGTGCTGGACCGCCCAGTCGAAGTTGTAGTTGGCGGGGCCGAATTCCTCGGAAGAGAACTGAAAGAACATCAAAAATTAATAAATACGTTCCCAGCTTATCATTACAAAATTGAAATGCTTATCAGCAGTAAAAGAACCGAAGCTGGCGATTCAAACAAGCCATAATAAAACGCTTAAACTTCTAGTTGCGTTAACTCACCTCGGGGGCGGAGTAGGAGTAGGGTCGCCTGTCAGCGGCGGCGACAGCCACGAGAGTCACGAGAAGGAGGACCTGAGGAGGAAGTGGTCACGTGTTCATGAGTAACGTAAAACATTTTTCTTTCATGTTTCACTGTGAAAATATCTGTTATTAGAATAATATTCGTAAAACATCCTATTCAGTTCTTTCAGTTATTAAAGTTCTTCCCAATGCAGTAACGAAAACTTTATAAAGGTGGCAGTTACCTTTGAGTTCATGTTTGTGTGGAAGTTGAATAACTTGTGTCAGATATCCAAGGCACGGCTGTATTTATACCCGATTGCAGTGACGTCATGCATCCGCTTCTTGCATCTTGCAGAACTTGTCATGCGCATGGAAAGTATATTACTTCATTGGAAAGATTATTTTCCGTTTTTCTTTCTTTCTTTCTCTTTCAGCTCCAGTTCTTTTCACTGACTTTTTGCAGTTATATTTGTTCATAATATTTAGACTTCAATTATTGCGGACTGTAAAGGATTTACGTATTTTGTATGTGATTATTTGTCTATGGTTATGGTGATTAGATATCAATTAGATATATAATTTTCTAATAGAAGTTATTTATAAAATGTACACGTTAGTTCTCCTTCGACTGTTTATCCCATGTGCGGCAGTATGCTCTGACCTGTCACCTATAAACAAGGTACCCCTTCACTCTGCCATTGACCCTCCTTGCGTGAGCAGCACATTACCTTACTCGTTAGTTTTCCACGTGATATTTCTTTGTTTATTCGTTTATTTTCCTCGTTTACATGATACAAAAGTGCTGTTAATTATGTCCATTGTTTACAGCCATGTTAGTGCAGCTGAAGATAAATAGACACTAATAGCATCAGTGTGTTGCGTCTTCTTCTGTTCCATCAGCTATGTCATTTTTCCACTCATGTGACAGTGATATACGCCAGGAATTATTTTTGTTCGTATCGTCTAAATATTGATCCTGGGTTGTGAATTTATGAAACTAAGTACATATATGTTAAAATTGTTTTTTCTGTCCCTCCAACACTGATAAAACACGTGAGACTCATAAGGCCACTCAAAAATAATATATATTTTTATATTATATAATTTTAAGATTATCATAGTCAGTATTATATATAAAGTAATATAATGAATTATACTATATACTTTTATGGTCATTATCATTTTCACTAATGTTTACATATATGCTGATATTATCATCGCTATGATTAAGATAATTCTTTTATTATAACTTTCATTATCGTTGTTATTTCTTATCATAATTATTAGTAATATTGACATCTTTCTCATTATCATATTTATTATCATTATTATCAATAATATTATCATTATCATCACTGTGATATTTATTATTATCATTATCTATTTTACATTATCATGTGCCATGTAATTATTGTCACTGTTATTATCGTTTCATATAATCATTGTTTTTATTCTTAGTAAATCCATTATTTTTTTAAATTATTATTATCACAATTATTATCTAGATTATGAGTGTTATTATTATTATTACTTAATTATCATTATTGGTAATACTAATAGTATTATTACTACTACTATTAGTATTGTTCTTCTTACCATGATTATGATCATCATTGTTAGCATTTTTATCATAATTACTGTTACTGTTGTTGTTATTCTTGGCTTGTCGTTCGTTTTATATTATCATAATTATTAATTATCGTCATTCATTACTTTCATTATCAGCATCTTCACAATCATTATTGTCATCATTATTGCTTTATTAACGATGATAGTAATGATACCGTTGCTAATGATAATAGTCATTTACATTTTCATTATTGTTTTATTACTTCTATTATTATCAACATCATTATTATTTCAACAATATCATTATCATTATCAAATCATTATCATAATCATTATTATTTTTTATTATATTATTATCGTAATAATAATTATCATTATTATTATTTCATTATATCATTATTATCATTAGTTATAATAACAATAATGATCATAATCGTAATGGTTAAAACAACAATGATAATGGTAATTGTGATGATGGTGATGATTGTAATGATGTCAATGAGTATAATTATAATAATAAGTCATTATCAATTATATTATGTATATGTATTTTTATAGTTATACATATGTATGCATGTATGTATATACGTGTATTTTTAAACATACATGCATACATACACATACATATATATATATATATATATATATTATATATATTATATATATTATATATTATATATATATATACATATATAATATATATATATATATATATATACATATATATATATATATATGATTATACGTTTATATGTATATATGCCGTGTGTATGTTTACATGATTATTATTATTGTTATATTTACACATATATCATATACCATACTTTGTTTGTATATATATGTGCACACTATCACTATTTCATTCTCACTAATTTCTAGTATTGTCATTGTTTTGTCATTATTATAGATATTTTGTTTGTCATATTAGCTGTCATTATATTATTATTGTCTTTATCATCATTATTATTGTTCTTGTCCTTTTAATCTATTATATTAATGCTACTACTTTTTCTTTGGTCCATTTTTCTGAGTAGTTACTTAAAGAAATTGTTAGGACACATAGATATAAACCAAGTAGCTTTATATGCATGATTTAATGAAAAAGTACATGATACACACTAAATATACATGGTAATCGAAAATAAATTTATTTAAGGATACAATAGTACCGATGCAGCAAACTGGTTCTCAATCTTCTGCAAATTCTAACCATACACGGGCCTTGGAGGGGCGTAGCCACGAGATTCACGAGACTCGAACGACTCGAACGACTCGAAGGATTCAAAGGAGTCAGGGTAGCGAGCCTCTCCCTCGTAGGACACCTCAGGGAGGAATCCTGAGTCTCCTTGGACAGTGAACCTGACGGTCTGCAGGCGGCCGTCGGGGAGCTGCACGTAGTAGGATCCTTGGGTGTCGTGGCCGTCGCGGGCCTCCTGGTGCCGAAGTTGTTGCCGGAGTCGCTGCTGGACCGCCCAGTCGAAGTTGTAGTGGGCGGGGCCGAATTCCTCGGAAGAGAACTGAAGAAAACATCAAAAATTAATAAATACGTTCCCAGCTTATCATTGCAAAATTGAAATGCTTATCAGCAGTAAAAGAACCGAAGCTGGCGATTCAAACAAGCCATAATAAAACGCTTAAACCTCTAGTAGCGTTAACTCACCTCGGGGGCGGAGTAGGAGTAGGGTCGCCTGTCAGCGGCGGCGACAGCCACGAGAGTCACGAGGACCTGAGGAGGAAGTGGTCACGTGTTCATGAGTAACGTAAAACATTTTTCTTTTGTTTCACTGTGAAATATCTGTTATTAGAAATAATATTCGTAAAACATCCTATTCAGTTCTTTCAGTTATAAAGTTCTTCCCAATGCAGTAAGGAAAACTTTATAAAGGTGGCAGTTACCTTTGAGTTCATGTTTGTGTGGAAGTTGAATAACTTGTGTCAGGATATCCAAGCACGCTGTATTTATACCCGATTGCAGTGACGTCATGCATCCGCTTCTTGCATCTTGCAGAACTTGTCATGCGCATGGAAAGTATATTACTTCATTGGAAAGATTATTTTCGTTTTTTCTTCTTTCTTTCTTTCTCTTTCTCTCCCAGTTCTTTTCACTGACTTTTTTGCAGTATATATTTGGTCATAATATTTAGACCAATTATTGTAGACTGTAAAGGATTACGGATTTTGTATGTGGTTCTTTGGCTATGGTTATGGTGATTAGATATCAATTAGATATATCTTTTTAATAGAAGTTATTTTATGAAATGTACACGTTAGTTCTCCTTCGACTGTTTATCCCATATGTGCGGCAGTATGCTCTGACCTGTCACCCATAACCAAGTACCCCTTCACTCTGCCATTGACCTCCTTGCGTGAGCAGTACATTACCTTACTCGTTAGTTTCCACGTGATATTCTTTGTTTATTTTTATTTTCTCATTTATTGAAAAGTGCTGTTAATTATGTCCATTGTTTACAGCATGTTAGTGCAGCTGAATAAATAGACACTAAGCATCAGTGTGTTGCGTCTTCTTCTGTTCCATCAGCTATGTCATTTTTCCACTCATGTCACAGTGATATACGGCAGGAATTATTTTTGTTCGTATCGTCTAAATATTGATCCTAGGTTGTGAATTTTTGAAACTAAGTACATATATGTTAAAATTTTTTTCTGTTCCCTCAAACAACACTCATAAGGCACTCAAAAATAATAAATATTTTTATATTATATAATTTTAAGATTATCATAGTCAGTATTATATATAAAGTAATATATGAATGTATACTATATACTTTATTAGTCATTATCATTTTCACTAATGGTTTACATATATGCTGATATTATCATCGCTATATTTTAATTATTCTGTTTAATATTTCATTCATTATCGTTATTTTTTATCATAATTATATTAGTATAATATTGACATACTTTCTCATTATTCATTTTTTTCATTATTATCAATATATATATCACTGTGATATTTGTTATCATTATCTATTTTACATTTATTCATTGCCATGTAATTGTTCACAATTTATCGTTTCACTATAATTATTTGTTTTATTCTTATTAAAATCCATTTTTTTAAATTATTATTATCATAATTCATTATCTAGATTCATGAGTGTTTTATTATTATTACTTAATTATCATTATTGGTAATACTAATAGTATTATTCCTACTACTATTAGTATTGTTCTTCTTACCATGATTATGATCATCATTGTTAGCATTTTTATCATAATTACTGTTTACTGTTGTTGTTATTCTTGGCTTGTCGTTCGTTTTATATTATCATAATAATTATTATCGTCATTCATTCTTTCATTATCAGCATCTTCACAATCATTATTGTCATCATTATTGCTTTATTAACGATGATAGTAACGATACCGTTGATAATGATAATTATCATTTACATTTTCATTATTGTTTTATTACTTCTATTATTATCAACATCATTATTATTTCAACAATATCATTATCATTATCATTATCATTA